ATTTCCACTCCTTCATTCTTAGGGTCATCTGATGACTTTATCAGCATGAGTTTCCTTCCATGCTGCTGATAGAAAGGCCCAAAACACCAGTTGAAAGGGTGAATGCGGAGGACGGAGTCCTCAGCTTTTGATGAGAACCACTCTTGCTTGTACATGACTTCCAGCAGCAGGAACCTCCTTTGCATTTCCCCTTGCCTATGCTGCAATCCAGGCTAGGATCTCTCCACTTATCAAGGAGTGGATGGACTCCCAGGACAACTCGCTGCTTGCCATGCTGATGGAAGAAATCACCGCTCTTTGCTCTCAACCTGGGGACCTCTCCATGACTTTATACCGGTCTGGAGTGAGAACACAGGTGAAAGCAGAAAGCAAGGCACAGCTTCTGCTGTGATCCTAAGTTAAAAGGTGCTCTGTCTTTCTTTTCTCCATGGCTCTTTGCAGCTGTTCTGGGTGGGGTCCATCCTGCACACAAATGTGGTTGATGTTGTAACTTCCCTTTTTCCACTTTGGTAGGTAGAAGTCTCACTTATTTTGCACAAGAAACCCTCCCCACTACCTACTCTATGCTGGGCCTCAGACAAGCAGCTGGAAAGCACTGCTAGCTTCTGAACATCCCTCCCGCAGCAAGAGCCTCGGGCCAGTCGTGACAGGTGAGTCATAAGGCAAATTCAACAGCGGCAGTTGGGAATAGCATATTGCAAGACTTTTTCTCCAGTCACGTTTTGCAGACGCAGGGAATAGGTCAATGACAGACATTAACATTACAATCATGTCAGGACTCCTGCATTCTGGTCTCTCTGGAGCCCCTTGCGCCTTCTGCAATGTTAGGCAAGAGGCAGCAGCTTTGTGCCTCTCTTCCCTGTCTGACCTAGACAACAGGAAGATCCTGACCCATCTCTAGCAGGTGCTTGGAGAGCTGAAGGTGGAGGGTGCAGTGTCAGGGCACATGCAGGGTTTTGACCAGCTAGTTTCGTTTGAACTGGGTGGAGCCGAGTCCTAGCTTCAGACACACAGGTGCATGGACTTGCTGCATTCACAGGGCAGGACTTGGATGGATGTGTCCTGAGAGACCGACAGGAGCTGGGCCTACGAAAGAGCCCAGAGGGGTGAGAGCATAGAGCTTCCTCCTGGAGAAGGATGTATCTGGGCATGGGTGGTGCACAGGGCAGTTGATGAAGAGGTAGTTGCTCTCTGCCAGGCTCAGGGGTGGATTTAATGCCACAAAAGGCAAAGCACTTAGTGTCTCAGGCTGTCTGGGTGCTTTACTAGCACTTGGCTTAGTTCAGCCCAACAGACCCTACCCATCAAGGTGGGAGGTGTTACCCCATTTGACCCAGCCTGCCCTGGCTCAAAGAGGAGCCTGACACATTAGTTCATTCATGTCTCACCTTCACAACCACAGCAAAGATGAGAATAGCCAGACCCTTACTAAGGAATGATGACAGCTGTTAGAAATGATGTCAATACTCTAGCTCACAACAGGAAACTTTATTAAACAACAGGAAGCCCGTGCTCATGCATGGACTTACAAAACACCTCACCCTCCTCTCCCCTTGCTCTTTCAGTGCTGCAGAGCTGGCAGACAGGGTGTTAATGCTCATCTCCACGCTGGGTAGGGCTGCTGGGATCAGAGCCGGTGCTGTGTGGCAAAGTCTCACAGCTGTCTTCAGCCCTCAAACAGAGGGTCTGCTCTGCTCCAAACCCCACTTCAACCCTTGCTCCATCGTGCATCCCTTGGCTGCTGACCTAGGCTCAGAAGATGGATGGTCCAGAGCTGAGCTGGCTGGTGAATCGCTCCCTTCCCCTTCCACTGGGCTCTGCTCAATATCCTGAGCTCAGACTTGACCTGCTCAACAGGAAAAGTTCCTGCCTGCAGCTGGCTGCCATGAGGAACGTGAACATCATCCTGCAGCACTACAACTTCACAGGCAAGCTGACCAACCGACAGTCTGGGGATGAGGGCATGGGTCTCATCCGCACAACCTTTGCCATCATCAGCTGCAGCATCATCCTGGAGAACTTGCTTGTGTTGCTGGCCATCCTGCGATGTCTGCGAGCCCGCCGATGGGTCTACTCCTGCATTGCTAGCATCACCGTGAGCGACCTGCTTGCAGGAATTGCCTACCTTTCTAATCTCTGCCTCTCAGGCAAAAAGACCTTCCAGCTTTCACCTCAGCTCTGGTTCCTGCGGGAAGGCACCCTCTTCATTGCACTGGCTGCCTCCACCTTCAGCTTGCTTGTGACTGCCATTGAGCGCTACAGTGCCATGGTAAGGCCGATTGCTGAGAACGAAGCCAGCAAGACCCTGCGCTTACGCAGCCTGATCATTTCCTGCTGGCTGCTGGCCTTCATCATTGGATTGCTTCCACTGCTGGGCTGGAACTGTCTGTGTGACTTCAATGCCTGCTCTGTCCTCCTGCCTCTCTACTCCAAGAACTACATCCTTTTCTCCGTAGTCATGTTCAGCATCATCCTCCTGGGGATCATCGGCCTCTACATCTCCATCTTCCAGCTGGTCCAGGCCAGTTCTAAGCAAACCAGTTCTCGGCACAGCCGCAAACGGTCCCTGCGCTTGCTCAAAACTGTGCTGATGATCCTGGGTGCCTTCATCATCTGCTGGAGCCCACTCTTTGTCCTGTTGCTCTTTGATGTCTTCTGTGAGACCCAGACCTGCACACACCTCCACAGCCTGGACTGGACCTTGGCTCTGGCCATGCTTAACTCGGGCGTTAACCCCATCATTTACTCCCTTCGGAGTGTGGAGGTGCGCCGTGCTGTGGGAAGCCTGCTGTGCTGCTGCTGCGTCAGGGTTGGGCTTTGCAAGCCTGGGAACTGCTTGGTCATCACAGACATCAACTCTGGCTCATCCACAGAGAGCTCTCTGCGCTACCGAGAGAGTTTCCGCAGCTCTGTAGCACTGAACGCCCGTCCCAGAGCACCTCTCTCCAGCAACTCCAGCATGATGAGCAATCTCCCCAGCCTCTGAGAGGCCATGAGGAGAAGAGAAGCCAGACAGCCCACCAGGACCTCATGCTGCTGGTCCTGGCCTGGCAGAACTGTAGCCTACATGCAACTCAGGCTGACCAGGTGCAGCCCTACACTAGTTGTTAACTGTGGCCAGGCTTTCCAGTCCCTTCAGACTGGGATGTTGCTTCAGTGTGGGTGTAGCATAGGCATTCCTCCTAGGATGGGAGTGAAGGATACGGGCACATTTTGGGATTGATACTCTGCTGAGACAACTGTTGTGCTTAGGTTATAAGTGGACCCTGCTCTGTGTGTGTGCATGTATATAGATGCTGTACCTGCCCAGATGAGGGCATTTTGCCCCAGGGCACAGTGACAAATAGGGTGGGTATCCCCAACCCGACTGCACCCCAACCCCTTGGGCTCAGACTGGGCTGTCAGTGCTGCCACTGCATGTCATGCAGGGCTGCCAGTGATACTTGAGTCTTCTGCAGTTTACAGCCTTCTGGAACTGCTGTGATGGGCACAGCTTCTAGGAAAGGATGCAGGCTTGATGTCTTGCCAGGGAGTCAGTCAAGAACAACTGGATGTGCAAGTGCAAGTGTGTGCAGCTGTGGGGCAGCTCAGAGGTCCCTGGCCAGGAACCAAGTGCCCACCTGTAGTGCAGCACAAACCAGCCACAGGACGACAAGAGGGCTGCAGCAACAGCCCAATCCCTCACCAGAGTGCAGAGGTTGTGCACTGTGCCTGGGCAAATGCTGTGACAGTGCTTACAGCCTGGCAGCAAGAAGAGCCCTGCCGTGCCTCTGGGCATGGGGCTGCACCTGCAGTGACAGCCCTGGCACCACCATGGGCAGAAGGAGGTACCCACAGTGACTGGGGAGTCTGACGCCATCCTGCATGGCAGAGCTACCTGCTCCTGTCTGGCTGAACCTCTCAGGTAACATACGCCTGTACAGCAGAGGGTTCGCAGCGCTGTGGCCTCCCAGAGAGGTGGGTCGTGCTCTGACAAATCTGCCAAGTTCTAAGGTCCCCACATGGGGGGATTGCCCACTGTGGTGGGCACTGGAAGGCTGAGCAGCAGCTTCTAGATGGCTTTGCATTCTATTGTCTCTGGTGGGGTTTGGCTCACAACTGAACCGAAGCCGCAGGAATTATTTCCTCATACTTTCTGGGCTGAAAAGGCTGCATCCTTCCAGAAACCTTTCCAAAAACAGTGTTTGCAACAGAATAGATTTGCAAGAATCACTTCAACAGCCTGGAATAGAGTTATCACCCAGAGGCAAAGAGTGGGGTGGAGCCTGCCCCAAGCTCTTCTGAAGTCCAGCATGGCTGGGGAAAGGAATGGAGGGGTCTGAGCCTAGCATGTGTGCTCTAAGTGCTAACACATTTGGAAAAGGGGTCGTCCATGCTCTGCCAGTGAAATGTTCTGAGGGTATCCACCTCCCTGTGAGCTGGGCAGCATCAACAGCAGAGAAGGACCCCAGGAGCCTGGGCTGACAGCCGTCACATATGGATTCTCCCTTCTGCCCCAGGGCTGAGCACTGCTGCCCTGGCCTTTCGGAATGCCATGCCTTCTCTCCCTTGAGCTTGCAGGCTAGTGACTGTCTGGCTGCAGCCTCTGGCCCTGTCAGTTTTCTGGCTGGTATCTCTGAAGTAGCAGGAGAGATCCCAAGTCGCTGCAACTTCACGGGCAGGAAGCTTAACAGGCTGCCAAGCTGTGCATGGACACAGCCCAGCTGGCAGCAGAAATGGACGTTTTTGTGGGCAGGCGGAGAGCTGTGCCGCATGAGGTTGGTGTCGGGAACTGCTCCGGGGGCAAGGCTGGCTGGGGCCAGCAGAAGTTTTTGCAGGGCTTGGAGACCTTTGCAGCAGGGCTGGGGCCGTGACAGGGGTCAAGCAGCGCTAGCAGCTCCCGAGGAGCTAACAGAACATGCAGAATGCCCGCTGGCACAGGGAAGGGGAGGGATGACACCCACATGCCAGGCCTGCAGGTTGCAGAAGTTCACTGGAGCCAGGCTTCATCCCAGGTACCAAGAAGCCTGTTCTGTGCTATGGAAAAACGCTGGCTTCAAAATAGCCCCATTCCTGCCTGGGTCTGATAGAGACCCAGTGGAGCCCAGAAGGCACTGCTAGCTTGCACCTCAGATTCCTGCTTTTCTATTCCCTGATCAAGTGAAAAATCAGAGCAGCACCCAAATGCCTCCTCTCAGCATGCAAGGAGGCCAAAGCCACCCAAGCACTGGGAAGCACGGGGGAGGAGAAGCCCCTGATGACTTGAAACCTGCTGGCCTGGCCCCTCAGCAGGAGGTGCTGAGCTTCCAGCCCATTTGTTCTGCAATAAATCTAGATGATAAGACTAAGTCCCTGTTTGATGTGCTGTGATTTTATCCTCCTGCAGGTCAGGTACCCAGTGGCTGGTCCCATATGTGAGGGTCTTCCACGCAGCAAGCTGGCGGTCTGACACTGCTGAGGGAGGCACCGAGGCGGCTCGTACGGGACAGGGCTGCGAGCGGGGCCAGGGCCAGGGCCAGGCTACCTGCTCAATGCACCCTCGGCTGGGGGCCAGCTCGCCGCTCGGCGCAGGGCCTCACCAACTGCCCCCTCCATGTTCAAGCATGCGTGCAGGAGCATGCAGACATTCCCTGTAGG